TGTTTCTGATTTTTTTATTTCAATAAAATTAGATTAAGTAGTAAGATTGGATTTCTATTAATATCCTTGTTATACTGCTGTCAGTTTTATTGGTGTTATGATCATGAGTGGTGTGAGGGCTCCTCCTCTGGTGGCTTCATGTTACTGGTGTTCAGGCTCTGAGGGGTTTTTGTTCAGCTCTACTGATGGGTTGTGTCACTGTGGCTCTCTGGCACAGTAATACACTGCAGTGTCTTCAGTCTTCAGACTGTTCATCTGCAGATACAGCTGCTGTCTGCTGTTGTCTCTGGAGATGGTGAACCGGCTTTTAACTGAATTAGAGTAGTAGATGCTACCACCACTACTAATAATAGCGATCCACTCCAGTCCTTTTCCAGGAGCCTGTCTGACCCAAGCCATCCAGTAGCTGCTGAATGTGAATCCAGAGGCTGAACAGGTCAGTCTGTGGGATTCTCCAGGCCTTTTAACCACTGCTTCAGATTGTGTCAGAGTCTGACCATCAACACCTGAAGAGACAGAAAAGAAAAACCATCAGATGTGACACTTTCAGAAGACTTTTTTAGAGTAAAGATGAGTGATGATCATCACCTGCCCAGCAGACAGTAAAAAGCAGCAGTCCTGTCCTATAGTCCATCATGTTCAACTGTGTGTCCACTGTTCTCTGTCGTCCTCTCTGCTCTCACATAAGTAGAGGAGGAACACATCGGAGATTTGCATTGACTCCTCCTCACAGATAGAAGAAAGTAATTTCATTTCGATATCACTTCTTTACGTTTGGAATTAAATTCTAAACACAAGTGTCCTTTTAAGTTGTTAATCTTTAGTTTATTTTTTTCGGTATATCAACTCAGGCAGCCAATCAGTAAGAACACAAAGCAGAATAACACACAGCTCCACTTTTTGACAGTTATTGAACATACAGTAACATCTGTGATCACATGTACCAAAAATATTCACATCTAACAGGAAGTTAATCCCCATCATGTTCTTTGATGGTGTCTTCTGTTCTCAACATTCATGGAGGATTTTGTCACATGGGCTCAGGGTATCAGAGAACAACAGTGGTATTAAAATCTCATTTTCTAAAAGTTTGATTGAATTGATTGATTGAATTGATTGGTCTGAATGGAGCTAATAGAGTCAGAGAAAGAGGTCCCAGGACAGACTGTCATACATAAAGGAAAAGCAGAAAGTCAAGAACAGATGCCTGAGGTTCTCCAAAATTCCTGTTAGAAAATATTGATGTAACATACTGTTTTCTTTGGTATGTGTTAGAGTTTTAGCATGTGGGATCCAAAGCAGAGATGCTTAGTTGTTCTCTAGTCCAGGAGTAAATTGTGATAAACTTGTATCATAATATATATATATATATATATATATATATATATATAAATAATATATATGTATATACGGCTATTGTCCTTGCTGTACTTGTCAGAGTTTGACCCGTGATCCTGAAGCATCCCCACATTGCCTGTTTCTCTAAAGCTGTCCTATCTCACAGAGACCAAGAAAACCCCCCTAAACATGACGTCTGTTCTGAATTTCCCAGCTTGTTCTTCCTTCAAGCTAATGAATGTTCCTGATTTTTCTTTATTTCAATGAGATGAGATTGAGTAGTAAGATTGGATTCGTATTAATATCCTTAATATATTGCTGTCACTTTTATTGGTGTTATAATCATGATTGGTGTGATGGCTCCTTCTCTGGTGGCTTCATGTTACTGGTGTTCAGGCTCTGAGGGGTTTTTGTTCAGCTCTACTGATGGATTGTGTCACTGTGGGTCTCTGGCACAGTAATACACTGCAGTGTCTTCAGTCTTCAGACTGTTCATCTGTAGATACAGCTGCTGTCTGCTGTTGTCTCTGGAGATGGTGAACCGGCTTCTGACTGAATTAGAGCTAGCACTGTCATGTCTGATATTAGCTATCCACTCCAGTCCTTTTCAAGGAGCCTGTCTGACCCAAGCCATCCAGTAGCTGCTGAATGTGAATCCAGAGGCTGAACAGGTCAGTCTGTGGGATTCTCCAGGCCTTTTAACCACTGCTTCAGATTCTGTCAGAGTCTGACCATCAACACCTGAAGAGACAGAAAAGAAAACCATCAGATGTGACACTTTCAGAAGACTTTTTAGAGTAAAGATGAGTGATGATCATCACCTGCCCAGCAGACAGTAAAAAGCAGCAGTCCTGTCCTATAGTCCATCATGTTCAACTGTGTGTCCACTGTTCTCTGTCGTCCTCTCTGCTCTCACATAAGTAGAGGAGGAACACATCGGAGATTTGCATTGACTCCTCCTCAGAGAAAGTCTGAGAAATAAGTCGCTTTCTTTACACAAACACCAACATTTGAACTTTTTTTCTGATACTGCTCTCTTTTTCTTTTTCTCTTTTTTGTTGTCAGGTTAAATTGTGCTGCGGGTATCACTGTTGTAAGTCAGAACGTATTAAGATGATGCCGGATAGTGCCAAAAGGTTTCCGGAAGATGGAGACAAACTTGATTTCACACTTAGGGAAGGACTTGTGCAAACTCAGTTGTGTCCGAGTTATAGAATGGACATTAAAAGGAAGCACTCACTCTGTCCAGTAGATGGCGGTAATGCAGCACTTAACGATTCCATTACTGCCATAAAACCAACCAGAACAAGATTATGTTATTTCACTTTTTTCTAAAACAGATTAGTGATGTAGGTTTGAAGTTTTGAAGTCAATATTTTCCATTTTATATAGTTTGAACCTAACGCTGTGTGTAAAGGAGGTCAGTCTAGTACTGAGTTGTTGAGATGCTTGATCAAGGAGTGACCTGGCTGACACGCTTTTCCTTAGTTTACACTTAACCTTTACAAATGACTGACAGCCACACCGGGTTGTGGTTAGAACAGTTCATTGATCCAAACATGCAACAATGTGAATTAAAGTCCATCACTGAGCCAAACAAACTTCCCCAAACTCACAGTAACAGCAAACCTCACGTTCAGAAACCTTCCTGGATCACACACCTGACTCTTTCTAATATGCATACCTGAGCAGAAGTCTTACAGCGACACCCACAGTCAACATAAAGCACTGCAGTAAATGGTCGTTACAAGAGACCCCCAGTTTTAGCTCTTACACTGTGCCTGCAATTGGTGTGAATGTTTTTCTTTTTTTTTGTTAAACATGCTTTTGGGTGCACATTATTTATCTCAACACAATCATGGAGTCATGCTGAGTTTCTTTGTTGTTGTTTTTTCAAATCAAAAAAATTATGTTTTTTGAAAAATACTTTCCATGTCTTGCTAACTGTTTAACTGCCAGCTGAATTGATATGAACTTTATTCATGAACTGTTAGCAGCATAGTCATGAATAAGTTACAACCTATGAGTGATTTTAATGTTTTGTGTTATAGAAGCAGAATATTTTTAAGCTTTTGTGTTCCTCCTGTTTGTACTCGTTGTCCTGTGAGTGCAGCTGTGGTCGTGTAGAAAGCCTAACGCTGCAGATTTGCATTGACACTCTGGATTCTGATAGTTTTGTTTCAGTGTTCGCAGATGTTTGAGCACAAAGACATTTAGAGAAACTCCACAGCCTTGAGTGAAAACCAGCTGCAGAGGAACTGAAACCTGTTTGACTAAATGCAAAAACTTCATCAGAGTGCTTTGCCTAAATGGGTTTAGATCAATGAGAACAGAAGATCTGAATGTCAACTTTAAATAACTGACACTGACAGCACTCTAGTGGTTTTATAACAAAAACTACATTATTCATTTTTTAAGTCTTGTGCTCTGATCGTTAATATTCAACTTTAATCTCTCGATGTAACAGCCTGTTAAAGAAGAAATTTGTCGATGGGAAAATGGTCTTGTCATAAAAGGGGAGACATGTCGAGTAGGTGCCACTTAGCCAGATAAATTCCAGAGAAAGGGCAAGGTCATTTCCTTCTGCCAATAGGGTTCAAATAACTCCAGGATGCACTGGGTATGCTCCCGTCCAAGGTCGTTCCCTATTGGATGGACCAGCACTCCAGCCGGGTCTTCCTTTCTCTCCTCACAGGCTGGTGAGGCGTCACCCTTTGCTGCAGTGACCTCTTGGCCCTGCACTTCGTAATTCCACTCTCTGCGTGGTTTTAATTTTTACAGTTAAAGAAGTGTACACAGGATAATGACATCTCTTTTAGGGGGGGCAGCCGATATTGGTTTTCCAAGGCTGATGCTGTTTTTCAGCATTGATTCCGATATTAGTAGTTCACAGACTGACAACAGATATTTGGAAATGATAAGCATTTACAGTCAAAATTTAGAATTGGAACATTAAAACATTAAAAAAAACATTTAAAAAAACTCCAATGTTTAAAGGCGTCTCCTGCGCCACGCATGTCAGAGGCATTCAGGCTTCAGTGTTGACTGGCCATTACTCTTGTGACTTCTAGCCAATGAGAAGGTGTTGTGGGCAGGACGTTAGGTGAGACAGAGTGGTGAGTTAAAACCATAGGTTAGAACAGATCCAGAGGGAAAGACACAGCTGAGCGGAGGCACATATTTTAAGTAATGAATTTAATCGGCAATCGCTGAAATATAAATATCTGCCCACGATTATCGGTCGACCCTTAATCTCTTAAATATGTAAATGTTAGTCATTAAAATTAGTATGATTAGTGACACTAGGTCTGCTGGATCGGGCTCCAATTGTCCTTAAAGCGTGTCGTCTGACCTCTGCATTAGTTATATCTTTTACTCCTTAGTGTTTGCTTTCATTGATGGCTTCAAGACCAACACCTTTCTTTTCTTTTTTTTCTTTTAAAAAACATTATCTTAAAATGATAATTCTTTAAATCATTAAAACATTACAGAATATGTTTCCCTTCAGCCGAACAGAATGATTAGTTTTAAACATGTTTGTGAAAACTGTAAACAGGAAATCACAAACCACAACCCCAGCTGCTGTTTTCATATTGTGTTGTTTTTCCCCTCTGTAGGAATGGTTTCTCATGTTTGAGTTTGGTGATCTACTGCCCCCTGGTGGTGTTTGTAAGAACAAGATGTTTGAGGTTTTTGTACAGACTTCACCCTTATATTAAACAGTGTGGATATCCAGCACAGTAATAAACAGCAGAGTCTTCCTGCTTCAGGTTGGACAGACTCAGATACACCATGCTGTTGCTGTTATCTCTGGTGATCTCTATACGTCCTTGCACACTGCTTGCATAGTTTGTTTTACTTGCATCATAGTAAATAAGCCCCATCCATTCAAGAGCTTTCCCTGCAGGCTGTCTGATCCAGTGCATCCCATACTGACTAAAATCAAAACCTGATCCCCGGCAGGAAAGACTGAGGCTTTCCTGAGGTTTTTTCAACACTGAAGTGGAGGGAATGGACTCCAGAGCCTGACTGTTAAAACCTGCAGAGGAACAAAAAGGAGAATGGAGGAATAAAGCCAAAACATTAAATGTATGCACATCGTATCAGAGCTTCGGCAAGACGCAACTTACAGGGCAGACAGATCACCGTCAGCAGGACAGACAGTTTGTCCATCATCTTTAGACTAAAGATGTCAACTCAGCAGCTTCTAAGACACAAAGTGGACAGTCAGTCAGAGAGAGACGATAGAAGTAGATCCTCTGATTTGCATTTGCATTTTGTAAGGATGGGGGGCTGATCAGTGTTAAACTTAGATACAAATTTAAAAAAACACTTCAGGCCTTTGCATCAGACCAGCCCCTTTTTAAGAACAACAGCTGCACCAGAGCATGAAAAGATGACAGTACAGTGTCATCAATACTCACTATGAACTGATTGTTTTTTATAGGCAATTATTGCACTTGATTGCTATAAATCTATAAATTGCTAAATAATCTATCTGGGATCTGCAGCAGGAACCTTCTCACAGTTTGGCAACAACCACGTGTAACCCCGCCAAGAAATCACCTCCTTAAAAACCCCTCTCAAAATGTAAGGTCTCAAAAGGTTTTATGTTGCAGGACTCTTACAATGCATTACATCAATATAAATAAATCTTTTATTCCATCCCCATACTGCAACTCTTACGATACCCCTGTTAAGAGTCACCATAAAACTGTAACCGATTCAATACAGCGTCTGTCTCTGTGTATGTCTGAAGCATTAAAGAATTAGAGAGGGTAATTCAGGTGAAATGCATCTCTCAGTAACATTTCCACTTTACACGGTGAACTTGACCTGGCTGTATGTGCGGTACATGTGTGCACAGGATGTTATGTAAAAAGATAGAAAATGTTATTTCATTGCATTATCATGGGATGTCCTGTAATCTACATCCTGTTTACATTCATTCACACAGAATAAATTCACGGATTGTCAAATCAAATGCTCGTGTGCTCTTCATTATTGTACATACATGGGCCTCTCATGCAACGCAGCCTGTAACTCAGATTAAAATGCACAGAACCTTTAATTCTGCCGATGCATACGTACGAGGTTATGTAATATGTTGGTGACGTATTTTCTGTATGAAAACAGAGTAAACAAGACTTCTAAGTGCTGCATTAATTTATTGACGAGTGAGAAACTTCATACAAACATCACTTATTGAACCTGTTTGTATGAATGTCAAAATATACAAATTTCTAGCTGTTCTACTCTATTTAAGCCACATATTCAAACTGATTTCTAATGCATAAAGATTCATATTCTTTACAGTAGATTCTCACCGAGGAAATAAGCAGATTCAGTCAATTCTTTTAAATCTCTTCTTAAAACGTACTTTTATAGAGTTGCTTTTATGTGAGCATATCCTCTTTACAGTTTTAATCTTCTTTTACTTCTTAATGTTGTCTTATCTCCTATTATTCTTTTAAAGCTTTAACCAATTTCCTTCTGTTGCAGTTATGCACCTCTTATTCCCTTTTAATGTTTGTACCGTCTCTTTATTTATTCTTTTTCTCAATTTCTAAATCTTGCTCTACAGCTGCTGACGCTCACCATATTATTGCGATTTATAACGATGGTTCTTGTAATGGTTCTTATAATGGTTCTTGCGATGGTCGAGTTAAATATGTTTGTTGGGTTCTTTGCTGTTGGATTGTATTTTATTGTGCTGGTTATTTTTGTGTTGTCTACATTCTTGCTGTTGTTTCTGTTCTTCTGTGTTTGGTTTAGTTTGCTTTCTTTTGTATGCTTTTTGCTTTATATCAAAGCACTTTGTAAACTTGTGAATGTATAATCCTGTGTTTAACAGTGGAACAGAAATAGTCTTTCCTATCTGTTGTATTGGGTTTTGTTTCATTTACTGATCAGACAGAAAGCTTTATCCAGGCTGTCATTTAGAGAACCAGCAGCAATGAACGGCTGAAAGGATCCCACAAACTGCAGACAATAAGCAAACAGATGAGGTTTCCTTTCTCCAAATGAAAGGACCTGAAATAAAAGAGATGAGATAATATTTCTATTTTAATCTTAGTAGAAAAATCAGTGCTCTCATCAATTCTAACTATTTTTTAATCATTGATTCTTTATGGAAAGTCTTTATAAATACATTTTTAGCAATGTTTGACTGTACAGATAAATGTGTACATGCACAGCATTAAGCCTATTTTTATTCCCCAGACCAAAGCTGCAGAGATAATCCATAAGAGACCTCATCCCGCCTCAGGCATCCACAGATCCCCACTGATCAGGGTTTACTCACTCACAAGCTTGCACAGAAATAAAGAGTCCGATTGGTACTTGAACATCTAAATCAGCAAGCTTTAATTTTTATTCAAGCAAAGAAAAACACCAACACAAGCAGCCCAGGAGCTCGACGAAGACTTTCATCATGAGTGTAAAACAAGCCTGCATCTTTCTGAGAGGAGGACCGAGCAGAAAAGTAAGTCACAGAACATATTTCTTTACTATTTCAGTTTCTTTAAGTGAAGTATGTGCAGTATACTGCTGTACTATTTTAAAATATTGTCATTCTTCTTGTTGTTATTTACGGTTATTGGGACAAAAACGATTTTAAAAAGTACCTCCTAACTGGAGTAGAAGGGCGGGGGGCAAATTTCTGTGTTGTTAGAAGGTTGAACTCTGCACACGTCATTTTTTAAAAGTCATTCAAATGTTATCATGTAACGGGGCTGATTATTATGGAAAATTAATGCAATGTCTATTATTATGAATGGAAGCCGGCGTGCTCACGGTGTGTCGGGTAATGTTGAGTTGATACAAGGTGCGCTGCAGAAAACACACCAGTGGAGCAGCTCACCTCGGTTTGGTAGTGGAGTCTCTGAAGCGTCGACAGGTACACTCGTGGGGAGAGGTTAAGGTGGAAAGGAAAGAAAAAAGTGTCTAGTATATTATTGTTGATCAAACAGATAGGATGCTGGGAGATTATAAAAAAAATAAGGTTCAATGCAAGGATTTTTAAGAAGAAATATTTACACGATAGAAATCAACACAGCGGCCGGAAATCACCAAATGTAGAGAAATAGTTACCACTTGTAAACTGATCAGAAACAGCCAACTGTTGATGTTTTACCTCGTAGTCCTCGATCCCTCCTGCAGACAAATAGAGCTGCAGTAGAAATGTTCCTGTATCCAGATGTTTTTCACATTATTAAATAGGAAATCTCCTGATTCACGAGCCTTTCAGTCCCACAGTCAGCGAGCATCACAGTGATGTGAAGGCGCTTAAGTATAACATGAAATAAAAACATAACACAACACATTTTCTAGAAAAACATATTTAACAAATATATAATTGAACAGTCAATGAGAAAAAATGAATCAATATCAGTTGTTAGATTTGTTATTCTTTGTCTTTGACTTTATTTTTGTAAAACTTGGCCTTGGACTAACTCTTTAAGCTAAAAAGAAAAAAAGGGGTAGGACTGGATTTTTTTCACTTCATCCTTTACACCCTTAACATGGAATTAAGAAAACATCGAGTCACTATAGAAAGAACCCTCTGTTGTTTGCTGTTTATGTATATTTTTGTTACTTTTGAAATATGTTCAAAATAGATCAATCAAATGAAAAATGAACGCTCACTGGCCTTCAAATTTACTGTTGACTTGCACTCTGAGTTTTATATTTTTATACTCTATTATGTAAATTTGTAATTGCTTCTTATTTTAATCTTTGCATTTAAATTTAAATTCTTGCTATTTTTGCTTTGC